CTATCTGATACTCTAGAGAAAATAAATAGCTAAACTAAGAATATACTATTTTTTGAACTATTAATTACTCAAAGATTCTATCATAAATTCTCGAAATAGTGGGCATGGGTGTTAATTCAAAATTTGCACCCCCTAAAAATAGTATATACAAATTCAAAATAATGCCTATGCATGTCCCAAAATGATGTATACTACATATAGAATTACTTGTCAAATCCAGATTTTGTTTTTTTTTTAATTTATCAGCTTTTTGGTCTCTTTTTTCTGTTTTTACGTATGATCTTTTAACTTTTTTATATATGATCTTTTGGCAATCAAGTTTATTAAAAATCAACCCTTGATTCAAAATAATGCCTATGAGTGTACTCGAAATAGTGCGCATATAGTCAAAATAGCACGCAGATACCTGCTATTCTGAGAATTTACAGTAAACAAAAGCAATAATAAACTTATTCAGAATATTTTTTAACTTTCTTAGTCTACTAAACACATATTTAACAATATTACTAAAACTTCTAAACAAATTAGCAGAACTAAAAGAAAAACTAAAAATTTATTTCTCAATCACAGATTTAAAACAATTAAAAATTTATAATACTACAAAATAAAACTTATTAATTACTATAGCTTTACTAAAATACTAGTAATCTATTTTGATTTACTACCAAAAAGAAAACTCTTATCACTAATATACTATAAACTAATAGCAATATTAGATAACTATTTTCTATCAACCTATCTTTAGAAAAAAACAAATATTCATAATATAGTTAAAATATTTAAAAAATACTACAAATTTAGAACTATATTAAATAACTTCTTCATACAAAAACTTGTTTTACTACAGAATTTTTATAAAATTAAACTAGATACACAATTTATCTATCTAATTACTAATAATAAAATAATACAAGAATTCTTCAACTAAATAAAACAAATACAAAATAAACTTTTCTATAAACAAAAAAATTATAACAACCAATCTTACAAACAAACCATAACTACTTTTAGACTCTACAAATATTAAAGAATTTAATATTACTATATCTATTATATTATTCAGAATCCTAATAGAAACAACCAAACTTCTTAAAGAAAAATACTACTTTAAACATATTCTACTAGATTAAATTAATATACTTATCAAATTTAACAATATCTATGATATTAATATTGACAAAAAACTAATAATACTACAAGAAGTACTAGAAAATATTACAGACAAAATCTATATTAATATACCTATTAAACAACAAAAAAAGATTAGCTTTACTATAGCACTTAAATAGATATCCAAAAGGTACAGATATGGCTAGATATATTTCCAAATATGTATAATGATATTTGACCAAAAGATCATCTTAATACCAAAAAAAGAAATTTAATAATCTAATAATAAGTCTACTTTTATTTAAATAAATAATCAGATATTTTATTTTAATATAAAAAACTATTATACAGAATCAAAGAAAGTAACATATTCATTATACTGTTTATGTTTGAATTGCTTGTATAGTTAAGAATAAATAAATAATTTTTTTTAGTAATAGAAAAGACTATCTATCTGCTCTTATATGTGAAGACATTCAAAAATTTGCACATATATAGGCTAGGTGCTGAGAAAAGGGACGAAATTGACAAAAAAAAAGATCTTCGAAAAATCAATTTTTATGTTATAAATCTTATAATAAATTATAAGAAAATAAAGACTTTAAAGAGCTATACTGCCAAATTTTATTAATACAACTACTTTTGTGTATTAAATGAAAAATGATCTTAATCTCATTATAAATTGATTTATGCAAAAAAACATCTTTTTAAAAAATTGTCAATTTCGTCCCTTTTCTCAGCACCTAGCCCATATAACCAATTAAATCACAAGAACATGTAAAATTGCTTTGATTATTCGTATAATTAGATTGTAATTAACAGTTAAATTATAATTTAATATCAAAATTTCTAACCAATTTTTATTCAGAGAATCTCTAGACACTAGTTTATTCATCATCTTGAAACTTTTCAAATAAAAATAGAAAAACTAGTATCCAGTATCTAACAAAAGTCATTTGACCAGGTTCACAAATAAAAATTCAAATACTTTTACAAAGACCTGATCAAGCAGTAATACTCTCACCAATAAAATATACAATGAATCACAAAAGCTTTAAATCAGCAAACTAATTCTTGGATCTAACACAAGTGATAAATATTATAAAAAGATTAGGTTCTGGTTTTTGCATATAGAAACTTATAGAGCTACCAATAAGCTATCAGATATATGATAGCTCTATCAGCTCCTGATATGTCTTTGTTGTTGTCACGATGGGTGCCACAAATCATAAAAAATCAGAACATAATATTTCTATAACGTTTATCCGATACGGTATACAGTCAACTCCCTCTAAGTGAATGTTCTCTAAGTGCATGTTTTCTCTAAATACAGGTTTAAATTTTGGGCCCACATATATATTTAATCTCTATAAATGCATTTTTTTTAATTGTTCTCTTAATGCATGTTGCTAAAAGTCTGGTCCCAATGAGATGCGTTTAGAGAGAGTCGACTGTACTTATTTCAACCAGCGTAAATAAGGTAAATAAGCATTAAAAAAGTATTGAAAATCATATACTGTATATGTCATAGGTGGGAATAGAATTTAAGTTGATTCGAAATTTTTAGACTAGGGTTGAGATTTTTAGTATACGTAGTTGTTCCTTTCTAATCTAAGTAGATTCCAAACCATATTATGGTTCCATTCTCACATACAAAATATATTAAACCTAAATGTAAATATGTAAATTAAAAATATAAAATTTAACCATTTGCAATAAAACTGTAATCTTATTAACGTATATGATCACATGTATATCGATATGATTTCACACTATTTTTCTATGTAAATATTTAAAATTATATGTTTGTCACGTAATAGATGGGGGCGAAGTAAGGTTAGTAAACGACAAGGTGGAGTTATAGTAGTGCATAAGGCGAATTGCATGACAAACGAACAATGATAAAAAGAAGAGCGACATAAAATTCCTTTTTTCTATGTATTTAAGACAGAATAAAAGATCTTACTCTTAACCATAAAGCGGAGATCGTCACAATAATGTTTTAATTAAATGAATCCTTTATCAAAACGAACCCTCGATAATTAGGGTTTTCATTTCATAAACTATATATCTATATATACTTATATATATAGTAATGAAATGACTAACAGACAATGAGACTGTTAATCGGTAGAACTTTCGTGTGATTAATACATGTGATCGAAATTATTTCGGCCTGTGTCGAAATTATTACGGCTTATGTCGTAACTAGTTTCAAATAAACCGAAATAGGTTTGGCCACATGTATGTTAATTGTAGGTTGATACCAATTTGAAAATATTATATTGGTATAGAATAGAATATCTAAGTTTAGTTCAGAGTTTAGTTCAGATTTAGTTTAAGTTTAATCAAATCCAAATTCAAACCCAAATTCAAACTTAGAATTTAAAAAAAAGTACGTTTAAGAATGTAACGTTTCACTAATAAAAAATAAAAGTTTTGATTATTTTTTGCCTCGTAAGAACGTTATTATATTAACTGTGCAAAAAAATTTTAGAACTGACATACTTTACTTATATCGATATTTGTTATTCGTTACTATCATAAGTTATTAATCCGAAGTGGAGGACTCTGTATTTCTTCGCAATGTTTGTTTGTACTATCACTAGTCAGAATGAAAAAATCAGTATCAGCCCACCCTAGTTGAAATTAGACTAATCGGCTGCCGAATGTTTTGAATGTATACTGGATTTTGTCGGCATTCTACCAGTAATCAGCAGGCAAACTAGTCGAATATTGACGGAGCTTGCAGATTGCTCGCAGAATGCAGACTGTAGCCAATACTCAGCAACCAATTAATCTTATTTCTCTAAATGCATAAAAAATTTTGGCTTTTAATCATTAACACAAAAATGGTCCTTACAACTTAAATGCATATACGTACTGTCTATATGCATAAAAATTCTCTGACGGATGTCATGCATACTGGTTTTATTTCCGACTCCGCACACTATCTATGTAGTAAATATTTAGTTCCGGACATATGCATAACATTATGTATACATTTACTCGGTATATATATACTATGTTGGAAATAGTTAGCCGAAAACAACAGTTTAGAGATTTAAGGTAAGCCTTGATCTTTAAAAAAGAGCCTTGTAAACACGGAATGAATTATTATTTCACCAGATAATGAACTTAATACTTGTGTATCGTGCATTTATTTATATCATAGAAATCAACTCATCTAATGAGTTATGTTTGAGGATAGTAAATAAATAAATACTGTAATGTTGTTAACGAATTAAAAGTGATTTGGAATGATTGAAAAAAAAGAATAATTATTTTAATTGCATACTGTATTAAACAGAGTTAATGATAAATTGTTATATAGAGATTAGAATTTTAGTATATAATATAAATAAGAGAACCCTTCAATTGTTTGAAACGTACGTACGTACATATTTAATTTGTTACTCTTTCCTCTTAAAACTGTTAAAATCATAATCCTGCTTCTATAAAGTTCATTGGCAGTTTATTTATCGTAACGCAAAACGTATTACAACTACTTTGAAATCATGTGTTCTCATAAGAATACCAATTTAAAAAAATTCTTGATTTAAAATTGATCAAATTTCCAACATTTAACATTAAAGGTAAACCCATTTGTAAATTAACTACGTACGGAGGTAGATCCAAAATTGTCCCATACTCATGTACATAATATGTTTCACATATTATATATGTATATTATGTATATATATATGAGTTCTTAATATTATTCTACGTATGATCAAACAATATTTCCAGGTGAATGTTAAGTAATTTAAATAATATATAGATATTATTCATGCGTTATCGTTATATATATAAATATATAAATATAAATATATATATATATTAATCTATAGATTGTAATTAATTTTTCTCAAAAAAAAAAAATCCAAAGCATGCGTTTACCTACATCTTCTTTACCTACGCCATTTATAACCACTCCAACTTTAGTTCAGCAATGCCATTGGAATCAACTCAAAAAACTTTACAAACAACTTAAACTCCATATTGAAACTTATATTCAATATCCTGAATTTCTTCAACAAGTAACGAAGCATCGATATTTTATAAACGATGCCACGGAATTTTTTTTATTCGTCTCAAAACTTCGTCGATACCAAACTCGTTATCCGTTATCTTTTACTTCTTCTCAAAATCAATTTCTTTATATATGTGAATCAATAAAACAGGAAATTCAAAGTTTAGGAAAAGAAAACAATAAAGAAGGTGAAGTTGTAATGACTTTAATCCTAGAAAAATCCGGTGCTTATTTAAAATTTGAAGAATTTATGGAGTTTTTAGATGAGGTTGAAAAAAAATGGGGTTTAGTCGATAAATGGGGATTAAATGAAAGTTTTAGAAGGTTAGGTGAAAATTGGGTATTAAGAATGGAATTAAAAGATAGGATTTCTGAAATGAGAGATGATTTATTGTGTATGATTGCTTTTGGTGATGACTGCGAAATTGGTGTGAAATGCGTAGTTTTTAAGAAGGAAATTGATCTAATGGAAAGGAATCTCGATCTGGGTTTAAAAAGACCAATCTAATAACGATATCGATATTACGTAGAATTATCAAATTACTATGTACGACGTACGTACGTATTACAGCTAGCGTTAGGTTATCGTTACCGTTACACACTACATCTTAACAGTAAATTTCGTGTTACTCGAAATTTGGCATTAGATTTATTCATTCATGCTGACCTAAAAATTGGTTTACTCCTTTCTCTATACGTTACTCTATTTTTAAATAAACAATTTACTTTTATTTCTCCAATTTTTCAATAAAAATGATTCGTTCAAGATTTATATCTTCCATCACAACACAACAAACTGATGATGGTCCGTTACTTTATTTACTAATTTTTTTCATGGTGCTCATATTTTTTAGTGGTATATGTTGGACGTTTTGTTGTGGCACTTGTGTTGGCAGAGATTTATTGAAGTTTTGTTGCAGAACTATTTGGTTTTTCCCTAAAAATGGATGGAATAAACGAAAGAAAAATCGTCTCAGATCGGTTGGAATAAGAGGTGGTAGCAATTCTAAAAGTGATAAATCTTCTTTGGATGATGAGGAATGGGAAATGTTGGAAGATGGTGAACTTTTTAGAAATGTAAATGTTTAAAAATTTTGGAAGGGAATGGACATTATATTTAAAAAATGGCACATAAATTTTTTTTCTTTTTTTTTTTATTAGCAATGTTTAACAAGACCAATGATGAACTCTTTGATACTATATTAAATTTTTAATAACCTTATAGTAGTATTAGAAAATTTCTGTATTATAACTTGCTTTCCCATATTTAATAGATTTTATTTGGATTTTACAACGAATTTGACTTACAAAAACATATTGCTTATTGAATATTATTTCATCTTTTGAAACTTTGTGCATTACTAGTTTAATGATATGTTATATTTTGTAGAAAGTTCAAGTATAAGTACAAAGTTAAAAATAAAAATTCTTAGAAAAAGATCACTATTATAAAGTGTAAACACTATATATAATAGCAGTATTATAAAAGATTCTGTTATACAAAAACTGTTTTTAATCAAATAACTAAAACAGTACTAACAATTTTATGCTTAAAAGATCTTGGTGATGATCTTGTTTAAAAAAGTAACCAGTATAATAGAACTAGAGTAGTAAAAAAAGTAGTAAATACAATAAAGTATTGTGACAAAAAATTAGTTTAACTAGAATTAGAAATATCTCTGATGTTATAGAATAATAATATTTTAGACAGAAATTTAAAAATATAGAGACAAATTAATAAACTCTATATATTTAAGAATACTAATAGATTTTGACTATATTTATATAGAAGTTAATAACAATACAAAAGCATACTATAGCAAGAAGTATATAAAAAGAAAAAGCTAATACTATCAGCTATATAAGATAATAAATAAAATCTAAATATACAAACTAGTAGCAATAGCAAAAAAGAATTTCAAAGAATATATAGATAACTTAAATCTAAATTTGTATAATTTTAGCTAAATAAATATATAAAGCTATACAAAAAAATTTTTTGGTTTTTATAATATAAAACTGTTTGAACAAACCCAGCTAGTTGGTTTTTTTTTAGCTTTATATATAAAAATTGAGAATTGCTAATTTTCACCAAAAATAAAATTCACCAGGATGCTATATTTCAAAAATGTATTAGTTAACACCTCTTAGAGGTACTAAGTAAAAATGTTCAGAACTTTCAAAACCTTATACCAACTAAAATTGAGGTCCTAATATCTAACTCTAAGCTTTGTCAAAATTTTACCCTAACTTTAAAAACATAAGGGTAGTAATTTTACCTCTGGGTAAATATAGTTATTTTCATAAAGATTTTATAAATTTTTTAAAAAATTTTTTTATAATTAAAACTAGTCTTTTTGGCTTATTATTTTTATTAAATGCTCGAGAGATTATAGGGCTTTAAAGAGTTCTAATATAATATATTTTGAAGAAAATACAAATAAATATATATACAACTATAGTTATTAACTATTTAATAGACAATTTATCTGTTATTTGAAAAGGATTTGCAAATTTTTATAAATAAATTTTACTATTAAGCTAAATGTGAAATGCTTTAATCTAAAATTTTTTTTACTAAATAAATCACTCTTGAATTTCTAACAAAGTTGTAGAGCTTATCAAAACATATCTAATAGTAGTAAAAATATTAATATTGGCTTGATAATTCTTAAGAAATCTTTAAAAAATATTTTGCTAATATATAAAATTTTTTTAAAAAAAATTAATTTTTTTTAAAAAAATTTTATATTAACAAAATGTTTTTTAAAGATTTCTCAAGAATTACTAAACCAATTTTAATATTTTTACTACTATTATATATATCTTGATAAGCTCTACAACTTTTGTTAAAAGTTTAAAAATAATTTATTTAGTAAAAAAAAAATTTTAAATTAAAACACTTTATATTTAGCTTAATAGTAAAATTTACTTATAAAAATTTGCAAATTCTCTTCAGATAATAAATAAATTGTCTATTAAAGATTTTGCTATATTTCTATAGTTACTTCTATATACTATATCTAAAATCTGTTTGTAGATTTTCTATTTAAATCCTCTAATCTGAGTTTTTTATACTAATCTAATTTAATCTTTATCTAAATTATGATATTCTATACCTTAGAATTATTACGTTTTATTTATAGAATAGCTATTTTTAGTATATATTACCTGCTAAAGCAGTCTGATACTTACTATTATCATAATATCTAGTTTTTTTAATAATTTATACTAAGTCTAAAAACAAGTATTTGCAAGCTAAAGCTACTACTATTATTTATTTAATCTTTGTAAAATTCACTCAAACCTTAGTACCTCTTTTTAAAACAATCTGATATTTTTTTCAGTATCCTCTAGTCAGTCTTCTTAGATTATTAATTCAGATAGCCTAAAAGAGATATTAGTTCTAAAGTATCTATTAATCTTTTTTCTTTAATTGATACTCTAATACAAGTAGCCTAATTGATAGAGTAACTTGCTAATACTTTGTTTTATTTGGTTAATTAACCTTAGATAAAGCTTATTTTAGTAGCTATTGTTAAAAATTTGTATTAACTCTCTATTTAGGTTTTGCTAAATAGATATCTATTTTGTCAGTTTCTTGATTTTTATATGATGAAAACTTATTTTAAGTTTGTATTGCCCAATACTAGCTTGTATATCTTCATATAACTTATATATTATATAAATATTCTATAATCTCTTAATCTTGTTAGTATTACCAAAATTACAAAAATTTTATTTTAACTGATTGTTAAAAAACAGTAGCTATTATACAAGCAAAATTTTTAAATTTTTTATTATTGATGAATTTTGAATTTCAATCTGCCAATATATTATTTAGAATATAATAACTTCATTACTTTACTAAGTTACTATATTCTTTTTTAAATTTTTTTTAAAAACTTATCTAGTTATTAAAATATATAAAAAACATTTTTACAAGTTTTCAAATTTTAATCTAATTAAATTATAAAAACTAAAAATTTTTTATATAGCCTAAAATAGACTAAAATTTAAAATTTTACTATACAAAAATACAATATTTGATAGAATTTTATCTTTTTTCGCATATGCGATATATCGCTACCCCCC